CCAACCAACACATTAGAGCACCCCAATTCCTTTATTTCATTTTGTATACATACCTTTTTTCTGTCTTCTGTGATGCCATGGGTCCTCTTACTCCGGTGGTGGGTGGTTATGAATGCTACAGAGACCCGCATCATGTAATGATGTGGTTCCGTTCCCTGCCTCATTCTCCCATGAGTCCAGGGTGACTTGATGATGTAACCCCAGGGGGTAGGTTCTTGATGCCCTGGGCTTAGAGAAGCTGGGTTGAATGATGGATGGCATCATTTACCCCAAAAGAGGAGCACTGCAGGATTGCTGAGCCGTGAGTCTGCAGAGGACAACACGGAGATAAGGTGAATATCACAGGAAGAGCTGCTTTTTTATTTTCAAATGTGCTGGACAATTATTCGGAAAACAAATTCTAAAGCTGTATTTGGCCTAAATGTATTTTTAAATAGTAGTCCAGTCTGTCTTTTACTAGCCTCCTGTGATCAGCAGCATTCAGAGGAAGGTGTAGCACTGTGAGACAATCAGGCATTACAATATTGTGCATCCTTGTAATTCCAACAAATTGAGTTTGCTGAGTGGAGTAGAAAGCACAGACATGACCTCTTCAGAAATCTGTTGTTACTTCACTATCCAATCACAGTCTTAAACAAGCTGTTATACTTTGCTATGGTTTGGCTATGGTGTCTGGCAGGGTTGTGTTGGTTAGAAAACTGGCAGACCAGTATTGCATAATTTGTCAGGAGACCATATGCACATATGTTCTCCAAGTGTGCATTTAAATGTTTTCCTACACATATGCTTTGTATGTATGTTGACTTTAGATGTGTTTTTAGGTATGGGCTGAAACAGTTTTGTCACATTTCAAGGGATTTTCCCCAGAAGCAGAAGAGTTGTAAGGCTGTCCTCAAGGTCATGCTAACATTGGTTTGGTTGTAAATATGTTGCAAAGTGGACTAAATGAAATGCAGAGTTCATGAGTTGATTTTTCTAGGTCCAGTGTTGTCCTACTAACTTTGATACAGTGGAATTCAAAATGTCCTGTACCACTGCCAGTGAACCTGAGGCCATACATTCTTTCCTGGTACACAAATAGTAACGTTCATCCTATATTGGAGCAAAGCAAGGCTTACATTGCAGCCACTGTTATTCAAACAGTAGAACTTAACTAGTTAAACTCTATCTTTCTTTAGGATATTAGAATATTAAGATCAAATAACAGATCTGCAGTAGCTATTAAGTAAGTTTCTATTACGAAGGTCGTAGTTTTAAAATATATAATAAAAAATACTAACTTTAAAAAAATTGTGTCTCTTACATCTAATGGTTTCTTTCTATAGTTCTTTTAGTCTGTTGGATTTGTTGTTACCCCTTAAGATATTTTTAGAGTATTGAGTCCATTTCACTACCAACACTGGGAGGGATTTATCAAAAGTGGAGCAGACAAAATCTGGAGCAGTTTTCCATGGCAACCAATCAGCTTCTCTCTTCAGTTTGTTCAGTTAAGATTTGAAAATGAAAGAGAAGCTGATTGGTTGCCGTGCACAGCTGCTCCAGATTTTGTCTGCTCCAGTTTTGATAATTTTCCATCACAGTCTTTTCACTGTTTTCAAAACATTTCCCTGTAGACACTAGGTACTGCTTTAAGTGTATGTAGGGCAAAACTTTGTTTTCTAGTTTTGGATGGAGCAGTTTTTATTCCTGTCTGACAATTTTCAGGGGGGCAGACAGTGTTAGGTAATTTAAAACTTTAGAGCCTTCACCAAAGTTGAGGCTAAATCCTCCAATGGGGATGCTTGTATGGGTGACAACTATCTACGATGATAACTCCACTCCCTTCGGGGAGATTTCCTCTCAATTCCTCTTGTGTCTGCATGACAAGTAGTGACGGAAATTCTCCCCAGCAGGACACAGAAACTGATTGAATACTTACTGTACCTCTGCTACAGCTAAACTCTGCACTGACCACTAGAACTGGTTCCATAAGTCCATTGGGAAACTGACACTCCTGGGAGTGATTGGCTCCCTAGACCCCCCCCCCCCTCCGACCAACAGCTCTCACTGGTTCCTCCTGCTGACCTCACGTTTTTGTGGGAGATTAACACTCCCAGATCTGTTGGTTTTCTAGTGGACTTTAGTTCTGGTGATTGGACAGAGAGGTAAATATGCAGTCTTTTCTTTACAGGAGTGGGCAAAGTTGAAATTATTTCAGTATGTAAATGATCTGCTTTATCTCCTCCCTAGTCTACCCAAAACAGAAAAATCTTTTTTTTCTTTTTATACTTAAAAGCTATGTTGTATTTTTTGCAAAATGTAATGATAGCTATTCTTTAATTCTTTAATTAGCATAGTGACACAGAGTGCAGAGAATGTCCAGGGGAATAATGCTACATCTTTCACCTTTCTACCATCATTAATATAAGCCCAGGGCTATGGTTAGACATCATGCTGCCCTAGTTCACTATGTCATGTGAATATATTTGAGTAAAAACAGGTGCCAATAGTGCCAATAGGTGGCAGCGTGCTGCTTGCTTTACAAATATAACTACATTTCAGTTGTACAAAGCAACACACAAGAAAGAAAGACAAATGGCTTTATGTTTCCTGAACTATAATGAGCCTTCAGACTCCTCTCAACATCCCTTGCATATCCGTCCTGCTACAGTTCTTTTACTGAATTCATGTCCAGAGATACCATAAAAATAAGCAAATGTTATCACAATTTGTACATCCTCTACTGCCCTACTGGCAATTTACCACAAGTCCCCTATAGTCAATGCATCCCCTTATAAGCCTTGTAGGTACTGTATCACTAACATTTAGCTTGGTTAAAATTGATGCAATAACTGTTTCTTAAACATGTACTTGTCACAATTCACCTTTAAAATAAATCCACAAGGTAGTGTTAGCACTACCAAAATATATTATTATGAGGGAATTAAATTATTTATTTCTAGGCCTTCAATAAAAGACAATTAACCTCAGCTCCCATAGCCTAGGTCACTTGGTCTCTGGCTACAATTCATTTTACCGCAGATTCTTTTACATTTTATTCAGCAGTGAGATTAGAGGCTCACATGCATCTGGCCTAGATAATAACAATGTATAGACAGAAACTATACTATATGTATCAGTGACGTGCAGTACCTCTTGCTCGGGGTGAGGCATTCCCCAGCCCCCCCGCCGGACGAAGCTCCGCCTCCTGTCGGCCAAAGCTCAGCCCCACCACCAACCCGTCCCCAAGCTAGTGTAAAGGAGGAAGGGAGGAGACAGGGAGGAGCCTCCCTGTTCCTCACTTGCTCCACACCGCTGAGGCTCCTTGACAGGTTACACAGCGGGGAGGATTTCACTGCTGTGTAAATTGATAGATGCCGATCTGAATGGAGAAAAAGCTGTCAGCTTCAGACATGAAGCTGACAGCTTTTTCCTCCATAATTCTAGGTGAGGCTCTAGGTTTGTAATATATTAATACACATTGACAAGATTGTTTACATTAAAATGATGTCTTTCATGTCTATACTTAGTAAACATTAAAAAGACTACCAACCCTTTTTAACTAAAGAATATATATGTTTACACCATACATTCTAGTTTTCATATGGTTTGCATATATTTGATGCCCACTGTCACTTAACTTAGAAGAACAAAGAAAGAATGTGAGTGTAGGGTGTCATTGCCTGCCCATGGAGGACAGCACCCTACATTTATCGTATATTGAGGCAGAGAGCGGTGCTGATATCACATCAGCTCCACTCTCTGCATTATCCTCGAGCGCTCCCATTGCCGCGAGAGAAAGAGGTGCCTGGCCAGAAGATATTTTGGAAGGGGGGGCTCAAGATAGGAAGGAGTCCTCTAGGAGGGGGAGTCTGAAGCTGGGCTTTAAGTATGACATGGCCACAATTTATAGCATTGGGACATAGTGACAATTAGCTTTGCTTAAAAGGGACCATATTGGTAATGTATTGCAAGCTTAGTAAATATTGCATGTTTTGTTTACATCCAACTGTGTAGCAAAGTACCACATCTACCATCTAAAATCTTGCATATATGGCATAGTGTATGTTCCAAGTCAGGGTCATATTTAAAAAAATGAATGACTTACCTGGTGGAAAAACTCTGTCTCTGTATGTAGGTACGTATGGGCTTATCGTTGAAAGCAATCCATACATACATAAGGCAAACATCCCACTTAGAAATGCATAAAATACAAAGTAAAATAACAAAATAAGACCTGAAATGATATAAATCAGCCCATTAGTAAGTAAATAAACATGTTAATTAACTTATACAAATAATTGTTTTATATATTATTATCATATATATGAGTGCTTTACCCTTTGGTATGACAACAATGAATAACACGGTAATTAAAAAACAGAATATACTGTAGTTTTAGTCTCTCACGTTGTTGGCAGAAAGAACATTCATGTTAATCTCTGTTAATTTAACAGAAAGGTCAAAGCTGCTCTCTACCCGAGGATTTAAAATAAATATTTCCAATATCACAAATATTGTATTGTGTTGAATTGAAACATTTCTCAATATACTGATTCAAAAGAACATTATTTTGTCTAGTAAACTGTGGTATGTTTGATTATTCTTTTATTGGTAATAGGTTTCCTTTAGCTTATCAACAGAAAATACACAGTAGCTGTTGTTAGTTAGCTGTATTTACTTGATGCACACATGATGCACACATGCACACATGCACACAAAGTCATATGGTACAAGCATGGTATTGTTCACTATGGTCTATCTGGAAGAATGTTCCAAAAGACACATTTTCTCCCAAATAGTGCTGCTGGCACCTCAAGAATATTTATCTTACTCATCAGCTCTAATCCAAACCTAAATTTCTGTGTTATGAAAAAAGCAGATACAAATTTATAGGCAGCCTCACACTGATTCTTGCTTATTATACTGAACCCTGTCATCTATATATATCTATATTAGTATTACCCTGCTCAGATTAATTATTGGAGCTCTATTACTATGCTGGCATGATATAAATGTTTCTTCTGCTGAATCTCTTCTTCACATGCAGATGGTATTATCTATTTTCACCCTGCGCTTCCTCACATAAAATCTGGAATGCTATGACTGGTTCCTCTTCCGAGGGTCACAGCTGCTAAGCTGTCCACATATTGTGTTTCAGAAATAATTAACTTTATTAAGACAATTGGATACCTGACTGTCCTCTTATAACCTTAGTGCTCAACACCATTTGTTCTTCTGAATTGTTGTAAGGACTCACAACATGGTCAATTCATAAAAACAAGATATGCCTATCACTGCGTTTGACACCGTGGATTCTCGCCTCCAGGACTTCAGTAGAGTGTCTCCCATTCTATGGAACTCTCTACCCCAACCTGTCCGTCTATCTCCCACACTTACTGCCTTCAGGCGATCCATTAAGACCCATCTCTTCAGGGAAGCCTATCCCACCTCAACCTAACCACTGAACAATCACTTTCTCAAACAATCATCCCTGCGCAGCTACCTCCTCATGTATCACTTGCCCCTCCCTTTTAGATTGTAAGCCCTCACGGGCAGGGCCCTCCTTACCATCTTGTCTTAAATTGTATTGTGACTGTAATGTCTTCCTTATATTGTAAAGCGCTGTGCAAACTATTGGCGATATATAAATCCTGTATAATAATAATAATAATCTAAAGAAATACTTGTGTATTTTATAATCCACTATGTGACATATTTATTGAGCTGGACAGTAGTGAACGTTCCACTTATTTCCATTTATTTTCATACACAATAAACATTCAGTTCACCCAATGCAAATATCTGAGTTCTGGAAAGCTAGTAGAAATGTACTTGTTTCATCCAACAGGGGATCCAGGGGGAGGGAACTAACAAAGTGCTGCAAATCTACCTTGTTAATATTTCATATATTTTACATTATGCAGATCCCTTGAAGTTCTACCTACAGCAGCGAGATAAGTATACATCGATTGAATTTGATACAGACATTGTAACACGGGTTTTTAGGTTCCGGTAACTTGACGCATTATATTTAATCATTGATTTATTACGACATGTTATTTTTATGCAGATCAATTTTGGCAATACAGTTTTTTTTATAGAATTAGATTTATTAGGTTTCAAATAGCAAATAACAAACAACAAACAGCAAAAGAGAAGAAAACAGTACAAACAAACTGGAATAGCAAAAAGGCATCATGAGAGTGGTCCGACATTGTGTAAGGGCAAGATTAACGCTAAGTAACCCATTGAGAAACTGAACATGTGAACAAGCTGAATATATTCTGGGGCTCTGAGATTTAAAGCAGACAAAAAAACATACCCATATATTATACCAGAAATGTCCAAACTACATAGTGATAAGGAAGTGCTGTAGTATCCACAAAGAATTCAGATAAAAGAGACACAATAGTACACACAGTTTTGGGGACTCACTCATCAGAGGGCCTTTAGTAGAAAGGAAAAGAAACAAAGACCAAAGGAGAAACAGAGATGGAAGAAGATGGAGAACACAGGAGGAGAAAAAGGGACAGGTTCCGAGAGGTAGCCGGGACGATGAGCACGAACATGCAAGAAGCATTAATACGACAAGTAAGTACGTAACAGAGGTGAGTGAAGGAACTCCATTCACCCCACTTAAACGGCCACAAAGGCCGAGTTCTTATCAGATAAATTGGCCAAAAGTTCCTCCATGCGTATAAGATGAGTCACCTTTGCTATCAAATCCTTAAGTGAGGGCTCCCGGGGGTTAATTCCACGGTCTAGGAATAAGGACATGTGCCACTGAAAGGAGGAATCGGAGTAGTTTACGTTTAAACACTTGTGGAGAACCCGGGGTAATAAAACATCAGGGCCCCTGTTATTGGTGCTATCACTGGCATGATACTTTAAATCTAACTTTTCATTAACAGTACTATTGTGAAAGGATTGTAGTTTTGGGTTAGACTTATGTTTAGGGCTGGAGTTATGGCTTAGGTTAGGATTTGAGGTTTCTTTTAGGGTTTAGGTTCATGATAAAGGGCACTTGTTAGGCATTTACAATTTTTTTTAAATTAAAGGCCTGCCCAACAGCAGCTACCACAAGATGTCTGCTATTACCTTTATGAGCCAGAAATCCTCTATGTGCCTTTTGGAGTCACTTTATTAATGGAGCCTGACTTCAGCATCCCTTCAGTTGTCTAGTACCCTCCACGAGTATCTCAGAAAAATTGAAAGAACTATTGTAGCAAACCAATAACATTGCTGAGGATGTCTGAAAGTTTACCTCAAGCCCTGTGTAGACTCTGGATAAAGGCAGTGAGACAATCATACAATCAGAAAATTAGATATCTGGGAGCATTCTGTAAATAAACAGTATACAGCACACCCTCAAAGATGCCATGGATGCCTTTGTTTCGATAATTTACCAGGTGTCTGCAGATTGGAATGAAGAGGTAATTTTTAATTTGGCTATTATTTTGTTTTGTTTTTCTCCAGAAGCAAAAAACTCCTCATCCTGGTCCCAGTTATGTTATCAGTCTCTGAAACTAGGAGGTATGAGAGGGCACTCTGCAGCACTCCCTACAGGCCCAGGACACCTTCTTGGATCATGTATCTGATTGGCAGGAGGTATAATACTGATAACCCTCTTCCTGTGTAAGGTAGCAGTTGTCCAGGATATCAGCCATGCAGTGGATTAACTGCAGTGCATTTAGCGTGGTTACCCTACACAACGAAGGGCATTTGGGTAGCAGGATCACCAGATCTTTATTACAGAAAAGAAAATGTAGAAGCTAAGTGAAATACCGACTGCTGTTCACTTTAATATGATTTTCAGACGAATGCATTCAGATTTTTGTAATCTAAAATTACAAAATGGCTTAAGTTGCAAATAGTTTATATACCCTAAGTATTTTTTGGCAAATGTGGAGTTTTTTTAGGATGTACATTTTTGATATAACAAATGTTCTTTAAAACTGCTTTGTCTTATCAAGTGTAACATACCAACATCAGTTAAATGCAAGCACCCAGTAGGAAATATTCAGCTTCAACTGAGGCTTGGAAACACAGATGGCAATGTTCTTAGCTGTATTCCCAGAGTTCAGTGTAGCAGTGTTGTAATGGGAATACTTAGTCATGGAAACTTTTTTGAGGTGAACTTCCCTACACCATAAGCGGCCAGCAAAAAAATATGGACTGAGGCCAAAAGGTGTTTATATACGTATAGATTTATTCTTCCTCCTCCCTAGGCCAACTGTCACCACTCCCTTATCTCAGTTAACTGGCCAGCCTTAGTATTAAACTAACAAGGACAGATGCTAAAAAGCCACAAGCTACATATTGCACACTCTGCTGGCTCTGAAACTAGTGGAGCACTTAGAAAATGAAAGAACATTTGTTTAAAAATATATGACAGAGCTCTCTCTGCTCCATTGAACAATGAAAACTATGTGGGGCTTTGACGTCTACACACCACAGCCTGATTTTTATGAATGAGATGGGGTGCAGTGTGCGTAGTACAGTGGAACACAACAGAGAGAGAATATCCATTCTCTGTTATAAATAAGCCGATGAGACTTGGGCTGGAGATGCTGAAAGACACAGCCTGGCCACTCTGCATCAGTACACATAGAACCGGTGACTAGAAGAGTAGGACAGGTGTAGCAATAAAGAAAACTCAAGAGAAAGTGTTAGTCACAGTCAGGCCCGCAACTACCGCAAGGCAAGTCAAGCGGCCGCCTGAGGGCGCTGAAGGGGTGAGGGCGGAAAAAACAGGGCATTTTGACAAGTACTTGTACTTGTCAAAATGCCCCGATGCTTGCGCTATGTTTTTTTTTTTCTTCACTTACTTCGGGAGAGCAGCGGCGCGTCAGCGCTGGTCCGGTGGGAGGAGTTCCAAGTGTGGTCCTAATTTAGCTGGCCAGCGACTGCCAGAGGATCCCGACATGTGCGACACCTCTGGGCAGTCGCCGGCCAGCTAACTAAAAAAATACATCATATATTTAATTCCCCCTGGTGTAATGGGATCTCTCGTGCCCGTCGTTTTGGGCCGCGGTGCCGGCCTCTCAAAGCAGCGGCGTGACGTCACTAGGAGACCGAGACCGTGGCGTCGGCCGGCGCTCTCGACTCCTCCAACTTCACGATCTCCGCCTCCTTAAAATGACGCAAGTTGCAGTAGCTCGGCGTTCTAGTGTTGCGAACGACCAGCCAGTGCAGCTCGCCTACGAGCCTGACACTACAGGAACCGACCTGCTC